TCGTTTCAAGCATATTTATTACAACAATTGCATTTGCATAAACTATATAAAGTGTATTAATCAATGAGAAATCTATAAACCTTATTACTCTCAACTTCATATTCTTAACCTATATTATAGTCAAGCTTCTATATTAGTTGAGATTACGAAGAATAAGTTTTCACAAAATACGTAAAAGACAGCTTAAATTGCCAAGTTTAATTGATTTATTGAACTCATAAGTTAAACTTAAACGTTTATTTACAACGTTACTTTTTTCCTCTAAAGAAGCCGAAGAAGCTTTTAGGGGTAATCGTCGGTATCCTAATGATGGTGCTTTATACTCTACACCTTGTTCACAATGTATTCAAATTCCGCTCTTAGTTTTGTGTATTCAACTTCTTTTCAGAGGAATCTTGCAATCTTAGAGATAGTTCTTGATTCTACTCCCTTCAAAAAACTTGGCAAGATGGTTCTGAGAATAAAAAAAGGACCGAGTCTCGGTGCTCCACCGTCTTTTCCTTTGCTTTTTGTGCTTTTGTTTTTTAAATGTTCAAACATATCCCTCATCTAACTTCCGAATTATTTCGCGGATTACTAAATTACTTTGACAGTTTATGAAATAAGACTAATTTTGTCTTACCCTCTCGGAATTCATCTTCGTGGCTTGGAATTCAATCTTGTGACAGAAAATCGTTACTTTTCATTATGATAAAGATGATCTTCAAAATCAGCCAATCATAATTAATGTTGAGGACGATGATATGTCCGGTAACATTGAAGAAGCAATTAAGAGTTTCAAAGAAAACAGTTTCTGGTAATGTTGTTATGAATACATATACCTTAGATAGTAAAGATGAGAATTCACTTGCCAGATTTTGGCAAGACTTGTATCAATAATTTTTTTGGTAAGTTTTATGGCTAATTATGTAGTTGATTGTATATACATATTAATTTTTTGTACAATCTTTATCTGTTTAGAGGGTGATGCATTTTTATCATCACAAATCCATAGTGGCCATATTTTATCAATAACAATTCTAAAGAAATTTATGAAATATATTTGTTTATTCTTTTTTTTTTTTTTTTGTAAATAGCTTTTTTATTTTTTTTTATTTTTTTTATAAATTTTTATGGGGAATAGTTTTTTTGTGCTTTATGAACATTTCTTCTCTTTTTGAACAAGCTTTGGATTTATATAGATTTCTCATTGATTAATACACTTTATATAGTTTATGCAAATGCAATTGTTGTAATAAATATGCTTGAAACGA